CATGATTAATTTATTTGTGCACCGCACAAAGCTATTTCAGTCAATGATTACTGACCATTTACATATGCAAGTTAGAAAGATCTTCAATTTTTTTGCTCTTAGGGAAACACGTACTTGTTGAAAAACACAAACTCCAAAAACTGGATCTTTACTGCTTACACTTATCATGTTTTCACATACTCAGACTTGACATTCTTGGAACATCACCAATGTTTGAGAATCAGTTCTTAGTCAAAATCCACAGTTAGCTTTGTAATTCCAAACACAGGCAAATGCAGAATTACCAGAGGTGATATCTGCATCATGTACAAGTTTGAAGACACTTACCAATGTGCTTCTCTGAGCCTGTGAGAGTTTTGTTGCTACAAAGTACTGAACAGGTGCAAGGACTATGATCACTGCTGCTCCAATTAAGGCACTGATTCCAAGAAGGTAATAGAGCAGAAGAACTCCTACAATTATCTGTTGGAAGAAAAGAAAGTGAGGGGAATGCTTGGGAGAATTTCACTTCATCCCAATCCCATTTTAATCTTCTTTATATTGTGATAAGGGCAAACTTCTAAAATATATTCATCATGTACAGGTCAAAAAAAATATTCTCAATGTAAGTATGTGAATGCTGGTATCTGAAAAGTGCTGAAATCTGTAAGCATTATTGCAAGTAATTCTGTATTTATCGTACTACACACTACACAGCCAAGAATAACCAGTACTTAGATAATATCTGAACTGCTGGAGGACAGTATCTGGCAGATGGGAAGGCTCACATTAATGTTTCTGAGAAGGTAATGATTATATTTTTAAACAACTATGTAATGAAACATTTTTGCTTCCCTTTCATCAAAATCCCAAAGCTCTTACCTGCCAGAGATATATATCACGAGTAAGAAACTCACCAATAGCTCTGATTATTTTGCCTTGATTATTTATTGAAGATAGCAAATACTTTCAGCCAGAAACTGCTTTGTGGCCAATTTTGAAAGAGACAAATGTCCTTTCATTACAATTGTAAGCTATCCCTGCCAATGAACCAGAGATATGAGAATACAGGATTTTTTAATAATCACAGTGAAATCAAACAAGGGTGTTTATAAAATGGAGGTGGGGGAGGAAGCCTTTATAAGGCCTCATTTTGCTCCCAGGGTTTGATTCAAACCTAGTGAGGGCATCTTTCAATAGATGGGCATCCCCAGGCCTCTTTTCATTGATTTCAATGGCCTTCAGACAGTAATTTAAGGCAGTGATAAAGCTCCTATTGACTCCTGCCAGAGCAAAGACAAGGCTCAAATTATCTGGACTGTATGGAAAACCTAACTTGTTATGAATGGCTACGTCTTCTAGTCACAGATAATTACAACATCCACAGCAGATGCTGAAATGCTGATTGTTAAGAGCAACAAAACAATTAAAAACCTGTTTTAAATAATAATAAAGCTTGTTCAACTTCCTATTAGCCATCTCTCGAGCATCCAGTAATTGCTTGCACTGCCTCATAAAACAAGGTATTGAATGAATGTTGCAGGAACACGCTTTGGAGAAATCTTTGTGACCACTGTAACTCATTGATTTGTGTCTTGTAACGCATGCACCATCCACAGAACAGGAACATGCTTTGACACTGACTGATAGTCCTGATCTGCCTGGGAGCATCACAGAGTGAATTTTAATGCAAATATAATCATATTTTCAGAAGACCATCAGGAAATCTTTACGAATCTGTGACTTCTGGCACATTAGAGCAAAATGTTGTTACAGAATATGCAATGAAATTGGCTTAATTCTTAGTTGCACTAAAGCTCTCTACACTGAGCTGCCAGAGTGGTCTTACAAAAAGTGCACCTCTTACACTGCCTGTTTTACTAACAGACTTACAATGGACACTAAGCCCAGGGAATAACTGGACCCTAAACATTATCATTAATTAGATTAAGACTCTTCTTAATGCCTCATAGCTCTTTCAGCAATATCATTTTAGCAGTATACAATCACTGACCTCTTTCTGCAGGGTACTTCTAGTAAACAGATAAAAAACACCCTGATATCCAAATTAGTACTAACAAACTGCCAACCTGTAACCATATTTCATGCGATATTTCAGATCAGTTTCATTTCATTAAAGCTGTCTCCTCTTTTGCAATTAGAAATTAATATTAGTACATGTTCCTTGATCATTGTTTTCCCACACACACACTTTAAAATAATCCATTTCACATTTTTTCTCCCCCATAATTTCAAGGAAACCATCCTGATGATAAAAAAAAAATAAGTCAAGTTTCTTTCTGAAAAACTCCTGCTAATAATTGCTATATTCATCACCCTTCTTAATTCTAGAAAGTAAAACATTTTTAACTGGCATATAAGCCTTTCCAGAGTAGATCAGGGAAACTAGTCTATATCCCAATGCAGTTAGTCCTGCACAAGAAAGAGATAAATGCATTTCTACTGTATAAATGAAGCCACACTATAACTTGCATAAATATGACTACAATAATTATAAATCTTAGTATCTGAACAGATAAGAAGGGATAAGAGTGGTATTTAGAGACAGGAGGACAAGAATAAAGTAGAAAAACCATTTAATATAACAAATGAATCTGTGGAATTTTGTACACTAGAATTTGTCATCCATGAGGCAGTGGTAGTTTTAAGGAACATGCAAAGGATTATCTTTTTTTTTTTTTTTTTAATAAACTGCTGCTTCTCTTGCTTCTGCTGGGATTCTGAAGACAAATGATTGCAATACATTTCAGTTAACTCCACTGATATAATAAGTGCAAACACTGGAATAACAATCTGCTGTACCCTATAAATTCTTTTTACAAATGCAAAGCATGTATGGCAGCAGTCAAGATCCTAATGCAATCCTGAATATCTAGAGTCCTGTCACAGATGTGAAATGTGTTACCTACGATGTTTCTAGATATTAATAGCTTGAAACCTTATTTCAAGCTATTTTTTAACTTCTTTAATATCTCTACATTCATAAAATTCATATGCAATCAATCACTACAGACTGATGCACGTTCATAACAAAAGCACCTTCAATCTCCTTACCTGTACTGGCATAGCCCAAAGGTTAGGGCAGAGGAAAAAGAACCACATCAGCTGATTTGTGTCTATGGCAACCAGGTTACAGATCTGGCCTGCAGTCATCTCCCCCATAGACATATTAGAGGTTGAAAGCTGCATAATTTTATTGTATATTTTTGTCTGGAAGAGAGATCAAAAGGTGTTAGCATAAGATTTCCATCTAGAACATAGGCATAGTCCAGCATGCTGAGGGAAACCAACATTCCCCGTAACCTGAACGAAGGTCTTAAAGTCTGGCTTTTTGTGTTATGATGAAAAACGTTAAGCTACTGCCTTATTGTTCACCCACAAAAAGTACAGTGCAATTACGTACATAATGGTTGTCTAAGTACTCCCTTTTTGCATCCCTGTGGATCAGTAAGAGAACGAAACCTTTGTTGCCCAACAGGCCCAAGAACCACATTAGCAGCTATGGTTTAGACCTCCAGCTTCTCCATGGAGTGTCCTTGCTGAAACTAGTGATAATAAAATAATATATTATTACATTCAAAATGCAATAGTCAGTATATTATAATCCTTATAATTTTTATCTGGCAATTGCTTCAGGCCCCATCCAACCTCAGAGCCATGTTCCTACCTCAGAATGTTGCTACATTTTGGCTAGAGAGCTCAGTCCCATTACAAAGTTTAATTCACAGACAACTAACGTAGCAAGTCTGATTCTGTGCTGCATTAATGAGCTGCCTCAGTGCAGAACCAGGCGCCACGTATAAAAATAACTTAATACATGTTGATGAAAGTGTACTTTTACCAGCTGGTTTGGTAAAAGGCTACACAGTGATGCTTTGCAGTCATGAGACTTAGCTGACAGGAGTCACCCTGATTCAGTAAGTGCCTTCAGATCAAGTGCCAACTGTCCATCATGAAGCATGAAGTCACATAGGGCACGTTGAACAGGTGCAGGTTTACACAGGGGAGGAAGAGAGATAAAAGCTTTAAAGAACATTGAAAAATTATAGAAAAAATGTATAAAGATACTGGCACAGAGACTGCCATTAACACTAATTCTGCTGCTTAGAGTGATGGCTAGAAATTTTCCAGTTTGAATGGTCTGATGACTGGTGATATCTGGGCCTCTGTTTAATATCCAGTGCAGAGAACACAAACCTTTTCTTAAACAAAATTGATGTAGCACTATTTTCTAAAAATTCTCCTTTTACATTTGCTGTGGTCCATGTGTTTTTCAGTTAGTTGCAGCTCTTCTGCCTGATACAACACATACAACATTATTAATCTATATTTTGGGTCAAGTTTTTATTTCTTTAGGAATTTTCTACTTCACTCTAATAAGGGAAAACCAGTGGATGCAATCCAGAAGTCTGGCAGCTGACAAGTGCTTCCAAGTGTAAAATCATTAAACAATTATGCTGCTATTGAAAGCATCCATCTATCACACACACTCACACAGGATCTACCGAGTTCGGTGGATAAATAGTGTAACTTCCAAGGCTGGCTTTCAAGCTGTCAGAGGGTAGGTTTTAGCCAGTGCACTTGGCAAGATCACATTGTAATCTTACACCTAATTCTCTCATTTCCAGGCACAGGTCTTTGTATGCTAGATAAAACTTTGATCTGATGTTCACAGTTACACAATGATTATGAACTCCATTTTATCAGTCTACTTATATTCAGTAGTTACAGACTCCACAATGTCTGGTAGATTTTTGTGGCGTGACCCATCAAATAAGACATTACTCCATGCACTGGGAATACAACCTATCCTTTTGTCCAAAGTATATTTACAAGACATTTTAAAGCTGTATTATTTGCATAGGATGTTACAAAAATACGCCTCTGAGATGGGAGAGGTCAAGTTCAGAACCTAAATTCTTTCAAAAGTTACATTCAGTTTTACTGCCAGCAAATCTATGCTCAAGAAGAAATACAGCATTAGATATTACAAATAAATGTTTATAGAAAATCATCAAATAAGATGCAGAGGAAAGAATGCAGGTCTAAGTTAACACAATCTTTAATGGCAACAGTTACGTTCAACACATGTCAGGAGAAGAGCATTTCAGAATTTAATGACTATAGTTATAATTTGTATTTACAAATACACGTATGATAGTATGAAAATAGTTTAATTAATAATATATTGGCTACCTGTATTGCGCCTCTCAAGTTGATTCCCGTTTCAATAGCAACATAGTATGATGCTTGGAGAAATGTCCTTTGCAACAGAAGGGCAAAAAATAAGAGTACAGCCAAAACATAAGCATTGGACAGGAACTCTTGAGACGAAATAAAGAAAACACCAAGAATTTTAGTCTACAAAAAAAAAAAGAAAGTTAGAAATCAGGTGCAATGGTAATTTAATTACCAGTTTTGCATAATTAATAAGCAGAGATAGCCACAATTTATTAATTTGAAAGTGCTCCTAACCTTACCTGAAACCTCACAGTATTAATTCAAGGAAACAGTCGTATCATGTGCCAACTCAGTAAGCTTTATTTAAATGCAGAATGACATTTATTGGGTTTCTGATATCCTTCCAAAACTCTAAGACACTTTGAGTAACTCCATACAGTCCTTCGCTAAAAGATGTGCGATGTCCACTGCCAGAAAGGACTAGTTAACCTGCTTTTGAAGAAATTACTCTCCTTAGTTTAGCACGCCAGGTTACTGAACACTAAAACGTATTATCACAACCATGAACCAAGAAGGTTACAGATTGTGCTGTATTATATCAAAGACAGTAACAGAAGCAGCACAATTTCAATACTGTGCTACACACATATCTGGCTACTACTGCTAATTACTGCAGCTAACATCACTTTTTAATGTATGTAAAAGAATACCACTTTTTACACAATCATGTTTTAACAAATCATGCTTTTCTAGCAATTAAATTTTGATGTAGTATTGATTCACATCAAAACATTACATAATAGATGAGCAAGGAGGAAAAATGAGATTAATATTCTCATTATTTCTTCTAGTACTCAACTTGAGAGAAAAGGAAGACTTAAACATATAAATATCACATACACACACTTGGTGAAAGCACCAAGAATTTGCCAAGTCTCAGATGCATAATCAGGCCATTATGGGTTCCAAAGTCACTGAGCATCTGTGTGTTTAAACTACAATAGTTGTCCAAGTACACTTGTCAGCCTGCGGGAAACAAGGAAATAACTGAACATCTACTGAACCTTCTGCATATAAGGCAAATAACCTTGTTTGAGAAGTCAGTGGAACTAATTACCTGCTTTATTTTAATAAATCGTTTTTGAGCCATTCAGTGTCCCATCTCCCTGCTGACCTGAGGATAATACCACTTTTTTAAAAGTGCCAGTAGGCTCTAAGCAGTAAAAGGCTGAGCAACAGGCCACTATTTAAATACTTAAAGACCCTAGACTCACATAGTCTTAAATGTCAACACTGGGACCTATGACCTCTAGAGCTTTTTAAATAATGAGTCTGTAGGTTTGCTGTATCATTTGAATGTGATATGTCAGCAGATATTCCTAATACTGGAACTGCTAATCCTAACATTGCAATGTGGAAGATGCTACCAGCAAAATATAAAGGTTATCATTCTGTCAGTCTCTTCTTCGGTGTGAAGCAATTAACACTTAGAGAAATCATGTCATAAGAATGTTCCAGGGTGGCCATAAATATTGATACTGGAGTTATAAATAAACATGAAGAGCGTGACAGAATTTAAGATGCTGTCGTGCTCTAACTGCGGCACTAACTAAAGCCGTTAATGCTGCCCATGGCACCCACGTGATCTCAGAGTTCCAGCTCCACAGCAGTTTATATCTGTCACAAAGGCTTTGAAGAATAGAGCAAATATTGTACCTTAGGACTTGTCTCTTTGCCTTCAGTTTCACAAACAGAATTTCTCTTTGAAAGATGCAGTTAACTCATGACAACATCTTCTCAATCAAAACTATTTAAAATGAAGAAATCCCTTTAAGGGATGGGTAAAAAACTGCTCTCCACTGTACTCACAGCTTCCTTGCCTCGCCTGATTCTGTCCCATTGTATGGCAACACTTTCAACGCCCTCAAACTCAGAAGCACATCTGACACAAAGAATGTTTCCTCCCAACTTAATCTTTGCCTTCACATGAGAGTGTTTTAGAAGGCTTTTTTTCCCCCACACCTATGTAGCGCACGGGATCAAACAATTAATAAGGTAAGGTTCTCCTTAGGTTACAACATTCTTGGCAGTAGAGCTGGTGTACTTTTTCCCCAAGTAGACCCAGTTGGCTAGGTATGTGCATACACGTGGGAGTTTTCCTGAGCACACCAGTCTATTTATAGATGGTTTGAATAGAAAGCCTTCATACATTCTATAAAGATATTTCATCTAATCCAGCAAAAGCAATTTTCAAATGTAAAGGTAATTAGCCTCTTAATAGAAAAACAACATGTATAAACCAGGTCAAAACAGAAGGAAAAGCCTCTCGGAGACCTTTTAGCAAAAATAAAATAGACCCTCAGGTGTCAGTCGTGGACTATCACCACCACTGAGTGTTGCTGTTAGGTGATCCCAAAAAAGTGTAAATGACAACAACAATGGGGCTACTGCCTAGCTGGACACAGCGAGGATGTCAAGGCTGGATAAGACTCCAGCCAGGGCCTATCTAGACCAGGCCTGAGCATTTTTCAGACAGGAGCACTAGCTAACACTTTTAACATGAAAACTAAATAGGATAGTCCATAAGTAGCGATTTGGTATAATTTCAGCTGAAACAGTGTTCCAAACAAATTATCAAGAAACAGCTAAAAAGCTTCCACAGCACTTTGCTGCATCACAGCCTTGTCATCTTAATTTTTTCATTTCCTGCTTTAACTGGTTTCCATTGAAACTGCTATATTAAGGTCCCAAATATTAGGATAAGGATTGCAAAATGGATAAACAATTAATTTTAGTCGGAGGCCTTTGTTAAATTTTCTGCAACACATCTGACGTTTTTCAATATGTACAGTGGACCCAGTCCAAAGTGTACCTGAGTGAATGGATATATTTCCATTGGTGTCAACAGACTTTGGAAATAAAATCTTATATCAAACAATAAGTGAGCTGGGAAAATAAAGTGAGCTTTCTCATAGAAATCCAGCCTGCATGACCTCACCTTATAATAGGAAGATGCTTCTTGAGTTTTTGGGTTTGTTTTTTTTTTTAAATATGTTTCAGTTGATTTTTCGAAACCAACCTCTCCAAAACCACTAGTGAAATTCCTTGTCACAGCTAAATTATTTGGCATTTTATTGTAATGACACATGTGCTTTAATCCTCTTTAGACATCACTCATTTTTGGAAATGAAAAGCCAAGTCTATTAAAAATACAATTTTGTCTTTCTGAAAAGCACTAGGTCACATACTTGATTCAATCTCTACTCATGATACTAGTGGGATTCTGGATGTGCTTCACCATTATCCTAACTGAGGCTATCTTCCAGAATGCAAGCTTGACTAGATGCACAGGTAACATATTTTGCTCCCCATCAAGGTATAAATGTGGGTAACAGGCAGTTACTGTCATTTCTAGCATTCACAAATACATTGCAGAGTCATTTTCTTTACTGAGGCCAAATAATACATAGCCATAGCATTACTTTTTTGACTCATGTATTTTTATGACATTTTGACTGTACCTGTGGGCGGATGGTGTTATTTCCTTTTCCAACATTGTGAACAATCCCAGAGATGCAGAGTGGACCAGCAAATCCAAGCAAGTCAGCCAGAATACGGAACGTGCTACTGAGAAGTAAAGGTCTTCCAAAAGCACAGCAGAGAGCACGCCAAATTGATCTGGATCCTTGTGGAGACGATGACCTTTTGTTCTGTTCAGAATAAAAAAAAATAAAATCGTAAGGATTATGTTATGGGTTAACCCCAGGTCTGATAAATTATTGGTATTTTTATGCCTCCTTTAATTCATTGACAATCAGTCACAATCTGTGAGCTAGAAAAGCACAGAAACTACAATTATTGTTTCATTTGTTTTTACAGAGTCAGAACAAAGCATTAATTTTTACTGTCCTCCATATCACAAAAAGAATCATTATTTCTTTCCTACCCTTAATAGGGATCAAATAAGTGCAGTGTTTGTGGCTTGCTGGGGTAGAAAGTAAAAAAAGAGGGAGGGAACTGACAGGGTGTGTTCCTGTGAACACAGAGACTGGAAACCTATACTCTTTTTAGACAGAATGCAAAGGATTTATCTTAAAAACCTGCATACACTCAGCTCCTACCAGGTAGCCAAGCAGAATTTGAGCTGAGGCCTTGAATTCTCCTACAGACAAACTGTAACTGGAATAACATGGAAAAAATAGTCCTGTGAGGCCTCATTAATATTGACTCTGTAACTGAATGATTTCAGGGTCTTATTAGGAAGAATGATAATAGGATTACAATTACTTTCCACATCAAAATAGCGGCTATATGGATTTTACATGCATTTAACCAGTAATATCTTTGACATGCATGTTTAGATAGAGAAATTTCACTATTTTTATGAGGTACAGCTATGTGATCTCTTTGTATATGGAAAGCTATGCTAATGGATACTTCACTTGCATCCTGTCTGTTCATATAATTTTATATTATGCTCATAGCATAAAAAGCAATGAAAAACATAAGCACTGAGTAAGCAGACGTACGTAATTCCGTGTTTCACATACCTTCTGTGCTTCAAAGGCCTCATTAAGGCGAATGTAATTCGTCAGAGCTCTCATTGCAATGGGAAGCTTGCCTATAGTTTTCAAATCTATTGGTTTTTTATGGGCAGTCTTGATGAATGTATTCATCCACCAGTATGTTCCTTTGGACAACAGATTCACAAACGGCTGTAGGAACCGAACGCCAAGATCCTGGAGATCCTCAGGAGGTTTAACTTCTTTTGGAGTTTTGAAGAAAACATACCTCTGAAATAAAGAAGAATACCAAAAGAATCATGGTTAATGCATAGAAAATAAAAGTCTGCAAAGAATAGACAAGAGATAAAGAACACAACAGATAATAAATGAATCAGTCTTGGTTTCTCAAAAGTACTCAAGGAATTTAGGCATTCAAATTCAACCAATACAGCAATCCAGTTTCCTCAGTCTTGAAGAAACTCAGAGGCATTCAGTCGAGAAATAAATCAGCCTAAACTTTCACTATTACTTTGTTTATGGGGTGCAAATATGCACACTTGTAGAAAAAAAATACATTTCAAATACTACAGCCCCAGTCTCTCGCTCCAAGTTCCAGACATTGCAACTTGGGACACAGTAGCTTCAGCACAGCCCTGAGGCTATCACAGTGATTCACCTTCCATACCATAGTGCCTCACCATTTAGTGAGCTCAGAACATGGAGCTACCTCTGTTGTCCTGAATGGGACTGGGAAACCACTGAAATAGACAGTCCATATGGCACTAACAAATGTTTTCATTGGTTTAAACGTTGAAAGAGTGAGGTTAGACTGCTTGATGATTTCCTGTTGTCAAGAGAAAACTTTTTCAGGCATTGCTCATTTTTGGGAATGAAAAGCCAAGACTCTTAAAAACACACCTTTCCTTTCTGAAAAGGAATGAATCACATATTTCATTCAATCTCAACTCAGGACTGTACCCAAAACCTATTAATCTGAGTGGATTAGGATTAGGATTTCTGGATATGTTTCACTACTAATGGTGATGAGGTTGGGAAAGGCCATCTAGAGAAACAATGGGAACAGTGGAAGAAAAGGAGAAGGCACAGTTGGGACTAAAAGTCAAACAAGTTCATCTTCTGTCTTCTGGAAGAAGATGAAGGAAGGCAGGAGAAAAAAGGTGAGGCTGATGTCTGCTGTTTCTGCTGCATAGAGGCCTCACTCTTTATTTTTATTTTCTCCTGTTGCCTTTTTCTCTTGGCCCTCCTCCCCCTCAGCAGTGGCCAGCTCTCCAGGCATCCCAATCCCTTTCAGCAGCTACAGCAACAAGGCTGTCTCTCCAAACTCTGCCACAGACATAATAGGCAGTAAAAAACCCATACTGCTGGCTAATTCATTTTATCCATCAATAACATCCTTAATTAAATCCAAACAAACAGAACATAAAAAAAGATTACAATAGTCAGTAACATTTTTTTATTCTTCCTTGTAGAAGGATAAAATCACTGTAGAATTCCAGTGATTAAATCTCATTTAATTATGCAGTTGTACTATGAGGAGGTTTATGAGCAAGTCTCTCCAATATCACATTTGAATTTAATTTTTCCTACAAGCCAATCCACTGTTTTTCATCTATGTGATAAATAATGAACATCCAGCACTGAGATTTTTATTACTCTTTCTTTCAAAAATGCTACTGAAAAGTCTGCTTTTAGACATATTTTTGTTTTAAGTTATCAAATAAACATACAGACACACAAGCTCCCCAAAGAAAAATCACCGAAGGACAAATACGTGATAGATGCAACTCACATTGTTGATTGCATTACTGGAAAAAGCTCACATACTATTGTGAGGGAAACAGCAAGAAAATGTACATTGAAACATTTCTTTCCCTCCTGCGACGAAGTTTAATTTGTGCACACAGTTAAGTGAGGGGCAGGTGAAAGGAACTCTGGCATTTATCTATCTAGTGATCTCCAAAGCCATCTCCCAGTTTTGATTATGACTGCAGATACCACAGAGGGGAAAAAAAAAAATATAGCTGGGATGCTAGATAGCAATCCCAGTTGCCCCAGTAAATCACATATTGTGATTGTTTCCTGGAAAAAGAGAGCAGTTCTTTGTGTGTCTAAGATATTTTCTGATAGAGCAAACAATTCCTTTCACCTAGCCTCTCCTTGCATCAGAAATACTTGTTTCTGATGACTGAAACTGTGAATCATAATAGACATTTTTAAAACAAACTTGAACACATGGCGTTTATCTTAATTTAACTACAATGGAGTCTGTCATTTTTTAAAATTATGGATCCATCTAGCCTAACAAAGTTGAGTTAATTCTTGATTCTCAAATATATTTCTATTTCTAAGTGGATTTTTCTCTCCTTTAGAAATGCACTTCACAGTAAGTACCCAGAAAGAGGAATGAAGAAAAAAAAAAAAAAACAACCAAAAACCAAACAACCAAAACACAGGAGACTTTTATGATACTAACTTACCCTCACGCTGATGACATTGATTTCCACAGCTAGTAGCATTCCATATAGAACAACCAGAAGCCCCGTGAGGCAAAATCGAAGCTGAGAAAATCCAACCCCATTATCACAGAACTTCACAAATTTGATGGTTTTAGTTATGAAAGCTAAAGTCCAGTAGAACAGCAACGCTGTAGGAAAAAAGAAAAAAGTTAATCAGCTCCACAGTTGCAAAAATATACAACAGCAGCATCAAACATTAATTCAGAAAGAATGCAACAAGAATACATAAAACCAGAGAGTAGCCTTTCTTATATCAAAACAGAATCCTAATTCAATTCCACAAACATGAAAATATTAAGATGTTAGTTCTAAATCCTTTTCATATTAGATTTTGTGATATTTGGAAAGTTTCACAAAGAGAAGTCTGCTGGAGGAAATTTCCATGTGCTGTAAACACCTGTCTGTATAAGTTCACAGAATCACAGAATGGTAGAGGTTGGACGGGACCTCTGGAGATCATCTAGTCCAACTTCAAGGGAGGGAGCTGCTCCACAAGTGAAGGTGGCTGTGAATGATGCTTTTCAAATGTGGTTAATGCTACAAGACTGCTATGAATGTGGCTTGAAGGAAAATTGATCTCATTCCCCCTGAAGATCTCTGGGACATATTCAGAAACAGATATTAAAATATTTTCTCCAAACTGCTGCTGCTCTACTGTTCAACACAAATTCCATATATGTAATTTATAATGCAGATATAGAGGCACATCAAAGAAAGATGTTCTGATATTTATAGAGCACAACTTTAACTTTTTAGAGATCTACTGAACTGGTCTAAAAGTGCTACTGTCAGTTAGAGGTAAACAATCCCTGCAGTAAGCTCTGGTGATTTGAAAACACACTCCATACCATTCACCACACCATAAACCAGTTCCCATTCCCCATTCCTAAGGAAGTATCTTCTAGGGTTATGTTCTTTTACATTAATCTTTCATTGCTGCTGTATCTGCCAAGGAAAATGTGGATATGCTTTCCGAGTGGCTTGCTGCAATACCAGAGAGTCTTCAACCAAGACATTAGCAACTGAAGTCTAACTTACAAACATGGATAATGATCAGGAACTTGCTCAACTCTCAAAGAATTTGTGGCATTCCAGCTACCTTGAGGTACCCTAGAAAATCCTGTAGAGATGTACTGGGGGGACACCCTTTCCAAGCAAAACTAAATTCAACATGGAGAGTCCGTATAAGATTTGGGACTGCCAATTCTGCTTCTATGGAAGTAAGTTTCAAACCTCTCATTTAAGTGAGGACAGTAAATGGAACAGTACTGGGCATTAGGACATTTACAGAGAGACTATCTTCCTCTAAAATTAATAGGCCAGTTTGTAAGAAGAAAGCACCAAGAGGCCAGATATTTCAGCACTGTATTTTAGTGGCTGGTGCAGTTGCAGAGAGGATTTAAGAGATGTACTTACAGAATCCCTCTTATAAAACTATAGCCTTCTCATGTGAGGCTTCCGACCATCTTCCCAACTTAAACGGCATCAAATCCAATCTCCTTATCCCACTTGAGATTGTTTTCTACCTTTAAGGCACTATTCTCTTCTATGCTCGACTAAAATCTCACTTAATCCAAGAATACATTCCACATTCTTCTAGTGCTAACTACCTTTATCTGTTAATCCACATGTTTTGTCTCATTCTTCTTGCAATGGGCTGAGAACACATCCTTCTCAGAGGATAGAGGATTTACATAAACATAGCACGCTGGAAATCTGCACCAGCAGAAGAGACCTGAAAAAACAACCTACTCAACTGGTATCTATGCAGAGCTCTCGAAAGGAGAAATAAGAACTAGCACAGCCATTCTACTATTTAGGATTTAAATAAGGGTCTATATGACTTTTTATTATGATTTTATTAGAATATTCATTTATCATTTATCTAAGAAATATTAGAAAGTGCCAAATGTAACATTCTCGGGTGATAACTGACCTTCCACTGTCATAGAATCATAGAATGGTTTGGGTTGGAAGGAACCTTAAAGATCATCCAGTTCCAACCCCCCTGCCATCAGCAGGGACACCTTCCACTAGACCAGGTGGAAGGTTTTTGAAAACTTCCAGGGAGGGGGCATCCACAACTTCCTTGGGCAACCTGTTCCAGTGTCTGATCACCCTCATAGTGAAGAACTTCTTCCTAATATCTCATCTAAACCTCCCCTCTTTCAGCTTAAAGCCATTTCCCCTTGTTCTGTCATTAACTGCCCTTATGAAAAGTCCTTCCCCAGGTTTCTTGTAGCCCCTTCAGGTACTGGGAGGCCACTATAAGATCTCCCCGGAGCCTTCTCTTTTCCAGGCTGAACAGCCCCAACTCTCTCAGCCTGTTCAGAATTAATGAACAGACCTTTAAGGGTCTTCTGCACTGCATCAATGAGTTTCCCCACTAGACTTAGTAACTTTTGGGTGAGGCTTTGTTAGCCTTTGCTTTATATGGCTACCAGCTCTTTGCAAGCATAGGCAATGATCCTGCAGCTGAGACAGATGGTGCCCTGCAGGTAGGTAGAACTTCACTGACACTCAGAAGCAGCAGAAGATGCCACATGAGGTCATTCACTTTACTCTGTGTGTGTGTGCAATAATAAATCTTCTCTGCAACATTTTACTGATGAACAAGCCTCTTTTGGTTTAATTTCTCATACACTAAGCAAAAAGTTTATCACCAGCTTAAGCTTTTCCTCACGGTTCCCATTTGTACTAGGCTCTAGAAGAAAGCTGCTTCATTGCCACACTGCACTCTAGTGGGTTGATAGCTGAGCACAGGTGTAATTTAACTATCTCATACTGGGCTAATTTGCATAAAGTTACCATCACTTAGTCCCAGTTGTCAATAAAGAGTAGTTGTAATTAACATCGAAAGATGATGATCCTCACAGTTAAATAACAATAACTTTGTGCAGTCAAGAATAAAAGATGGAGACTTCCAGAAACGTCTGTCTTAGGTTCTCTCACAAACACAAGACAATAAAAAGAAAAACAAAACCAAAAATAAAATAAATATCAAATACCCTCAGGTTGTGAAGACTTTGAATTAATATTAAAATCAAATAAACTAAGTGGGAAAGGGTGTGGTAGTTTCATTTTCTTTTTTGCCTCAGAGTTAGCTATTAAGATCAGATTTCCTAAAGAAATCTGTTCCTTGGAAATTAATGCAAAATTAAAGTTCACAATTATTAACTTACTATCAATAACACTTAAGTGTTGGTATTCACTGCTATAACTGTTTATTATTCAAATACTGTTCAGAGCTTATCCAGCATCAGTGCTTTACATACTGAACAAAATTATCATAAACAAGAAATCTCTACAGAGAACTGATTATGCAAACATGGGCAATCAACTACCAGCTGTAAATTTGTGCTACCCTTCTCAATGATTTAACACCAGAAATGTGGTAGCAACACTAAATTACTAAACACTGTATTATACATCTGAAATAACAGCAAAAACCCTACACTGCTTGCTTTCCATAGGTGATTGTAACAGGCTAGCAATGCTTTCCTGAGGCATAACACCTAGTCCTGTGAGAAAGCATGAAATACACTGTGCTGATTTATTTAAAAAAGTATCTAAAAGACCCCACCTGGTAATAAAAGACAAAAAAGACCCTACTTAAAAGAAGAGTACAAAAAGAAAAACAGAAGTCAAAGGTTGCCAAGTCTGGACAAAAATCTGAAGAGATTTTTTTTTTTTTTTTTAAAAAACAGGAGTTCCTTCTGCGGAAGAGGAGGATGCTTGCTTTGCACAACATACAGTTCTGAATCTTTAATATTTAAAAGCTTTCTCAAATCTAGTTGTTACTGACTTACTACCACCTGACAAAAACTGGAACAGAACTTCAATACACAGAGTTACAATGACATAAGACAAACCTTAGCAGGATGCACTAACACAGAAAACCACCTCAAAAAGAATTTTGATGGCTAGGACCACCAAAGAAATAACAGCTGATAGGATGATGAAACATTTAGACATCCACAGTCCAGAATCTACTTAAACACATCAGAGAACACATCACCAGCCACATGATTGTCAGCAGTAATAGATTTTCTCCACCTAGCTACAGTTTATTTACAATCTTGCAGAAAATATATAGTATACTAGGTAGTTCTCATACATGGCATTTTCCACTCAAAAGGTTTTAAAGCAGTTTACAAGGGGAATTTTAGGAACAGGTAGCAAGACCAAGCAGGCAAAGTAAAATATCTAGAGTCATACTAAAAGTCAGTGATGTCATTAATTTCCCTTGACTCCCTGCATATTTCAATAGATCACACACACACAAATGGTTTCAATCTTACATCATGCTTCAATGCTCACGGTGACAAGCAGGGGGATTTGGATAGCTTTCAGAGTCAGAGTTTGATGTGCTACCTTACCCACAAATCCAGTTTTTCCTAGAAAAGCCTTTGGCCCATTGGATCCCCAAGAACACCACACAGAATACTATTAGAAGTTAGAAGCATTGAAAACAAAGAACTGTTTCAGGAAGACTCAGAACTGAGTCTGGCAGAGGCAACCAGCTGACCAGAACATAGGTGTAGCTTCATCCACACAAGCTAGCACCAAGACTGCAATGACCTGTCACAGAACAAACACACACAGCACTACCATCACATTTCCAAGGCTGATAAGTTGTGAGACCTACCGATTAACAACTTTGGAAAATTGGATGTCTCGATATTATGGTAATAGACAACGGAGGTGATGGCTGCCAGGAATGCACTCCCAGCCGGAATGTACAGGTGTAAATGGCGCGATTCTGAAACCCTTAAAAAGAAAAAAGTGAACATCTATTAAAATCAAACCCTCTTAGTTATTTAAAAGTTTCCCTTTTAATTTACAAATTGTATCCAGTACCCAGCCCTGATGTAGGATTTTCTAGAATGAGTTATGGATGTAAAGCTCCCTGATTTTCAATTGGATTTATGGTCCTAAATCACAGTTAGAATTCAAATTCCTCTCCTGTGCTGAAAATGAAATGTGTGTACTCCT